AGGCTTCTGGACGAGGTCCGTTTAGTCTTCTCCACTCTGTACAATATTTTTTTTTTTTAATCAAAAGTATCGATTTTTTTAAAGAATTGAATCGGAATCGAACACCCCTACGTCCAGCTGCGATCGAACAGGCTCAACCTTTTGCTGGCATTCGGTGGACGGGTTAAAAATATCGTACTTGTTGCATCGACCATAGACGACACCTTTCGCCAGCAAAGGGTCAGTCCTTTTGCGAGTATGGAAATAAATCGAGATGAACCGCGGTTTTTATCATCGTGGATCCACTCTGTCTTACGAGATCGTTTAAAGAAGAGCCGTGGTGCCGATCCGTGGCTCGAATCGCAGAAGTTAATTAAATGGTTGATACTCGATCGGCCCTACAGTTTCTACTCGTCGACGGGCACGAGCATCCGCAGAAGCTACGTGTCGGACTACCGGTCTCGCTGCTCACCCGCAAGGTGAGGCGATGTCCCCCTCGGAAACCGGGGGGGATGTTTGTAAGACGCGGCCGTAAGGTCAAGAGTGTTTCTTTCACCCTGTTGGTCGATAACCGTCCGCTTTAATGCTTCGCCGACGGGATCCGATTAAACGATAACGCAACCAGTTTACCACCTCCTGACGATTCTGCTTGTGCATGGTCAACAGTAATAACGTCGCTGCGACTAACGAAACTCCTCGAGGTCCGATCGGATGGAATTCCTTGAGACTCGAAAATAGCGGGCCGGTCCAGCGTGGTCTAATTATAGAAAAACGCGGTCGGCAAAGCGTTGAGTTACCCGATTGTTGTCGCTCGAAGATAGTCACGGGGGAAGAGAGAAAGAGAAAGAGAAAGAGAGAGAGAGAGAGACCACGTGGCGGAACACGCTCCCTTGTCATCGATCTCTTCTCTCTTCCCTTTTTCCCGGTCGATGAATCACTCTCGTGCCAATTCGCGTTCCTCTGGCGACGCGGCTGTGGACAACAAAATGGCCACGGCCCGTTATAAATACATCGGCGGGCAACAGGTACCCCGACGACACCCTTTACAATGCGCCAATTACTTTTGTCCGCGTCACAATGATCCAATTAGGAGGGCGCGAGCACGCCGGGAGTCCCCGTTCCTGTGGCACGGCCGAGCCGGCGCGAAAGGCAAAGGTCGAGGTCGACGTAGAGAACCTGGACTGGCTACCTGAGAACCGTGCCACTCGCGCGGGGAAACCCGTTTCTCCACTGATATCGCATTATCTCGTTGCTACTGTATTTTCGCCGCGGTCCTCGTCTCGTTTTAACATCCATTCGGGATCCGTGATTTTATCTGTTTATGTAACCGAGTTTCTGCTTGTTCACTAATACGTTTGCAGTGTAGATACTACGAAACGTCCTGATCTCTGCCATTCATTCGCCTAAAAAGTTGTAAAAAAAAGATAGTGAGAAATTAGGGTGATCCCTCGCATGAGAGTATTCCCGTCGTCACGAGAGTCCATATCAGTTTCGCACAACTTGGAGGTAGTCAGTTAATCGAATACGTAGATCCAAGTAGTGGCGAGAATGTGAAAAGCATTAAAGAGAAACGGCGATCGAAAACTCGTGTTTGCGCGCTATGGACTCTCGTGACGGCGTGTATAGCCGTCGCGGTAAACAAGCACGTGGGTATAAATACGAGCGGGCTGATCGATCGCGATTGACGTTGGAAGCGTGGCGTAAGGCCTTGACCTCGTCTCCTAGCGGGGCGATGCGACCGAGGCGGGAAGAGTGTCGGTTACTTTCTCCCCGGAATCCTGCCGCGGCCGTCCTGTTACCGCAACCGCGGAGGGTATCTGGCGCACGTGCGCGCCGAGTGTTATATTTTAAATATCTAGTGCGTTTCCAAATCCGCGAACGGTGTCGCGCGTCTGATTTAGTAACCCGCAAACCCCGAAGAGTACCTGGCCGACATGTAGGCCAGCGACATCGATCTCACCGCCTTCCTCTTTATTCATCATCGGTGAGGATTATTTTTAAACTCCTTTATGTCCTCTTCCTGCTTCGCCTTTTCCACGTTGAGTAAAACCGCGATGAAGGTCCGCTGCTAATTAAAACCCTTCTCCCGTTTCATAGTCGTAGGACCGGTTAAAGAACTTTAGGAAGTAGACAATCGGGGGGGCGGGAAGGTTTGATGGTAGGACCCGGCGACCTCTTCCCGATCGTTTTTCTTTTTCGACTAACCGCTATTAACACGGAGTGAAAAAACGCTTACTCATATAGATCCATATATAAGTGACTCGCGCGTGCGTGTGTTTACTCGCGTGTTTCTCGTATACCGAGGATTGCGTAACCCCGCGAGCGAAAGAGCGAGAGGTAACGAGAGTGAGGGTAGCCCTTGGCCGCGGGCCCAGCCGAATGAAAAAGGATGTTCGCAATATTCACATTGGCCGAACGCTTGCAGGTCAGTCTCGTCGTCGGCGTATAGCAGCACGGGCAGCGGTAGCACGGCCACGAATGTGACGGCGAACGGCACCAGCGGCACCAGATTTGGGTTGTCCACGTCGTCGTCATCGTCGAGCATCTCGTCCAGGGACAGGGCTGTCCAAGAATCGGCCGCCTCGTTGTCCTCGAGATTGGAGACAGCCGCGGACCTGATCAAGTACTCGCCAGCCGGTTACACGCCGAAGATTCATCAGACGAGCAGCGCAGCGAGCGGCGGTAGCAGCAGCAGCAGCAGCAGCCTTCATCATTATCATCACCAGAGGAAGCATCATCCGGCCGGTTCGTCGTTGACGGAGCTGTTCGGCGGCGACGAACGTGACCTGGCAGTGGACCGCAGGGATCACCGTCCGGAGTCGTCGCTCTCGTCGTCCTCATCGTCGTCTTCCTGCGCCGTCAGCGGTGCGCTCTGGTCCAGGTCGAAGAGAAGGCCACTGTCCAGCAGCACGGTGCTCAGCAGCGGGCATGCACGCGCGGACAGTGCCGCGTCGCCTGGCGAGGTAACGATCGACGAGCGCGGCATAATCCGCGACTTGGACGATGACGATGACGACAATGACGAGAACGGAGACAATAACGCCGACGACGATCAGCACAAGAACAACAACAACAACAATAACAACAGTGGCGGCGGGAGTAAGAGCAACGGTGCCGAGGACCCTGGCTCCTGCGGCGCCGGTGGCGGTGGCTCCGCGGTGGCTCAATACGGGATAAACAACAACGACCGGTCAGACCGCTCAGACGATGACGAGGACGACGACGACGCGGACGACGAAGACAACAACAAGCACCTGAACAACCGGCATCAACGGCAGCAACGACAGCAACAACGCGGTGCTGCTGCCCATCGGACCGACGAGGTTTCACCAGCTAAGCGTAACCTCTTGTCGCATCCTGTGCCCGGTGTTGGCGGTGCTGGCGATGCTGGTTTGATCGGTGTTAAGCTCGACTTGCTCACTAACCTAGCCACTAATCCGAGTAACGGCGGGCTGCTGATTAACAACAACGCTCAGGAGAAGATCCGCCCGGAGGAAGAGGACGTGGAGATCGGCGACGACACTGGGGGCGAGACCAGCGGCGGCGGCGGAGGCGGCGGTGGTGAGGTAATACGTGGGATCGTCGACGAGGAGATATCGTTCCTCCGTGGCGGACGTACCGGCGACCCGGAGAGTTTCGAGGACGGCGGAGAGCAACGGAACGCGTCGTCCACGTCGTACGATATCGTTCAGACGGAATTCGTGGGCGGCACGCCGCCCATTTTGCAAAACGGCGTGGCGGGAAGACCGTCCGGCACTTATGGGGACGACCCATCCGTGCCTTCCACATCCAGGAGACCGGATGGTCATTTCTCCGGTTCGAGTAGCACTGCCAGTTCTCTGACCTCCTCGCCCACCGCACCGTCCACGGCGCACCAGAATCTCTACCGCGGGGTCGTCGATCAGTTCGTGAGTGTCTCCAACTCATTTCCGTTAATTAGTCGGCCGGTGTTTCATCGATCGATCTCCACGTTACAAAAATATTGCGCGTCGTCGTCATCGTCGTCGTCTTCGTCCTCGTCGTCGTCGTTACGACTGGTATCGAGTTTCATTCTGTATCCACCCGTGTGCTCGTTGAAATCGCAGTTTTCAAAGTCGCGCATAGCGCATTCTAGTCTAGCCTGTTTCATTCTCACGTTCTATTATTAATAAAGTCATTCATTGGCGTAGCCTCGGTCTTCCGAGCAAACCGAAACAACGCACGCGCCGCTGTCTATCTTCAGCACGCGAATAATTCTCGTGTGACCCGACGTTTTTCTTTTCTCCCCTCGATTCACGTAAGGTTCACTGGCTCGTGGCAAAGGTATACCCAAGTTGTATAGAGTCCTCCGTGGAAACAAGCGGTGGTGGTGGTGGTGGCGGGATTAAGAAGGGGGGACGAACGATGCGTCGTTAGCTACCATCGCATTCAGCTCGTACGCTACCATTGCTTGTCCGCGCGCGGGTTACGAAACGAGTCCACTGTTCCTCTTCGGACATAGTGTTCGACGGTTACTCGCCGAGCTGCCTTTTATTAATAGACCGCAGCTCTCCGGTCGGGGCTGAGAGAGAAAGACCGATCTCTCCCGCAGCATAACGGTACCTCGTGGTTGCGATTCCTCTCTAAGTACACGCGTACAATCGACCGCACGATTCACCAGTGCGCACCCCAACCGATCTCTGTCCAGCTGAACCATAGAATCCATGCGACACGTTTGTTTCGGTCACTGCAAGGTCGGACCATCCCTGGGTTTCCTCTGATCCTCCGCGCTAGGCAAGGACTGATCCATCTCTGCCGATGTGCGGTACTCAGCGTGCCAGCTCGGCGGAGTGGGGGCCGCATCCGAGTGGAGTATCTTCGAACACACGCGACAGGGTACTCGCGTTTGACCGCAGAAACTTTCCTCCGACCCGCATAGTCGCAGCCTCGACCGCGGTTTCCGCTTCGCTTATCCTTCAGTGACACGGCGATCGTTCGGTTCGCCGGTAGTCACCGTGTGAAATCGTTTCGAAGGTACATTCGTTTGCGATGACGATCGGCTCGGACGTTCACCGGAAGTCGGTCGTGCGTCGGATGATGACAGTGTTCCCGGAAAAGTTGTAAACTGGCTTACACCCAAGTGATAGGCTGGGGGTTGTGGTGCGTGTGGGCAGTGATCGCCCTGCTCTTCATGTACGCGTTCCTCCTCGGCATCGCCGCGGCACCTCTGACACCGCGCAAACGCGTCACGTCCGGTGTTTACCCGGTACGGTTCGCCGAGTCCGTAGTGACCACGCGCGCTACTCTACAGCCTCCAGCCAGTCGCAAGGTGAGTTCGTATCCAATTCGAAACCCGGGAGAACGTCCTTACGCACATGACGACCGCGTCGCTCTGCGACGCGTTCAGGCTTCTCGATGCCTTAGACATTTACGACGTGTTCCCTTTTCTGAATATTTTATGTTGGGCGTACTTTCTGTTCGGAACGATCCATACGCTGAGGTCGAACGCAACGAGATATGTACGTACTGTGTGAAATGTTTTACTTCGTGCTGGACACTAACCCATGTGCGCTCTATGTACGAGGCGGAACTATGTTTTCAATTGAAACCGATGGAGTGTTTCGAAAAGACAAACGTTTACCACAGAGTTTGTTCCCCGGCTTCATTACGAAATAAGCTGATTATCATACGATGAATAATAAAATATGGCATACGAACGCGCAGACCTTCACCTTTAAATCCCACGCGTTTTCGTGTTACGACGTTAGAAACAATTTCTACAACAGCCTTTATACGTCTTCAAGTTCTTTATGAAATATTCCATTATTTTCAAACTGAGACTCTGTACATTATCCGTCTGAGACTAACCGAGTTTTGTATGAACGTATCCACCCCTCCCCCATCGACTTCGTGGTGTGCACGCGTGTGAGAAATGTGCCGCAAAAGCTAGACACCGCCACCACTAAAAACAGTCTACTAGTCGCTCTGAGAACAGAGAACGCGACGTTATCTGACGGTTTTCGCCCTCCCCCCTTCCGTAGACGAGTAGGAAGAGCCCTTCAGTAAAGACCATACGCGAGCAGCTTGAGTAATCTTGAACTGTGTTTCCAGGAAGGAAGCCCGACAAACAAATCGGCGCGTAATCGGCTACAGGCGCATCGCGATGAGCGATGTGGACTGAACGGGTTGAGGAATATCGGGAATACAGTAAGTATACAGAAAACTCTTAATAATTTTAATAAAAAATCGTGATTCGCATTTAGATTTCATTATTTCATGAATTTGCGATTGTATGAAATTCTGGTTCACACGTAGAAATTGTTCAGTGTTTCATGAACAGCGTGATTCAATGCCTGAGCAACACGAGACCGCTGCTGGAGTATCTGCTGAACGAACAGTACCCGGCGGACATAAACACCACGACGAGCAGCATGAAGGGCGCGTTGATCAAGGCGTTCAGCCAGGTGATCCACGAGCTGTGGGAGGTGGGCGGTGACCACGTGGTAAACACAACGGCGCTTAAGTCTCAGATACAGAGATTCGCGCCGCGGTTCATGGGTTACAGCCAACAGGACGCTCAGGAGTTCCTCAGATACCTGCTGGAAGGTCTGCACGAGGACGTGAACAGGGTCACGGTGAAGCCCCAGCCGATACACACGGATATTCCCGAGATGTATACGTAAGTCTCTATTTTTCATTTTAACACAGAGTAAATTAGAAGCTAAGAATAAAACGAATGATTGACTACATGTAGTTAAAAATTGAAAAAAATAAAATATTCGTATGACGTGTAAAGGTGACTTGAAAGAATATCTCGATCTAGACTTTATCATTTAAATTTACATCGTAAACGTGTCATTTTCCATGATAATTCATAACTTTAGAAAATAAACGCTTCTAATAAGTGCTAACGAGCAGGACTTGTTTGCCCGCAGGGACAGTCAGAAGGCGTTGGAGAGCTGGAAGCGCTACCTGCGCAGCGAGGACAGCATGGTAGTGGACGTGTTCGTGGGTCAATTGCGCTCCTCGTTGCACTGCACCTCCTGCGACCACGTGTCGGTCACGTTGGACCCGTTCTGGGACCTGAGCCTGCCGATACCGGCGAGAAGTGGCACAGTGAAACTGAGCCAGTGCCTGGAGCACTTCACGCGGGAAGAGGTGCTCGACGGCGACGAGAAGCCGACCTGTTCCAAGTGCCAGATGAGGAGAAAGTGCACCAAGAGCTTCAGCATACAGAAGTTCCCGAAGATTCTCGTTATCCGTATCCTTTTTCTCTCGATCAACGAAAATCGCATAAACAAATCCGAGACTCTTACAATTTTTTTAGGCTCTTTCCAGTCGTTTATTTTAATTAAGTTTAATGCTCGCTGATGACAAAATTTCTTATATTGCATCCCCTGCTTTTTAATTTCGATCACGGAGGAAGATGAAGCGAGGTGTGATTTCCTTAACGAACGAATGTCAGATTTAAAACGGTTCTCGCCGATGGAACGGTTCCGCAGCAAGCTTAACGTGATGGTGGACTTCCCTTTGACAGGTTTGGATCTCAGTGCCTTTGCCGGGCCCAGAGTCCCGGGTTGCACGTACAATCTGTACGGGGTCGCGAATCACTCGGGCACGACGCACTCCGGCCATTACACGGCGTATTGCAAGCATCCGTACTCGGGGGAATGGCACGAGTACAACGACAGCCGGGTGTCCGTTGTCTCGGCTAAATCGGTCGTTTCCAACGAAGCCTACGTGCTCTTCTACGAGCAGCAGCCTCACAGCTCTCACTTGTAACCCTACGCCATGCCTAGAGTATAAAAGAACAAAACATTTAAACAAAACAAAAAAACGACCATCTTGCCTCTCGATACCTCAGTCAAGCCGTATACTATAAAAAGAGAAAAAAAAAAGAGAAACGGAGAACGAAAGGGGAAGACAGGACGGACAAAGGAAGGAGGATACTTTATCGTGCGGTATTGAAAAGCGACTAAACACTGAACGACGAGGAAGAACGCAGCCGTGGTCGTTTTCGTTAAGGCGGATGAGCAATGGGTACGAAGAGCATCGGATCCGCGTGTGTGCATCGTGTGACTGTTGGCGATAATCATGTTCCGCTCGATCGAATCATTTTGTTTCTCTTCGTGGAGACAAGAACGTCGGCTCCTTTGAACGACGCGACGCCTTGGTGCATTTTTGTTTCATCGAGAGTTTTCCTGACGGTCAGAAATCGTCGCATCCTCTTCCGAATCTTCCACGTTTATTATTTCTTTTTTTTTCTTTCTTTCTCACGACCTTTCCTACTCTACCCTATCTTTTCACCTAGTTCAATCTATTATTTTTATACGGAACGATTAATAGTTTCGGGAACGAGATTCGCCAGACAAGTTTCGATGAGAATAACGAAGAGAAGATCATGACCTCGCCAAAGATCACGTGAACATGGGATTTAGAAGAGAATAAACATGAACGCTTCGGATGTCTAGTTACTTTTGAATAGACGATATAGTAAAGAGAACAAAAAATGAAAACTAATGAATAATATACATCTATCCTCACTCTTTCACTGAACACCTGGCAATCTACAGCTATTTACTTTTGTAAAATATTTTGTTTAATAATATCACAGTCAAGAGTTATTTATTTAATTTATGGAAAAGAGAAAAAACTGATAAAATACTAATATATTCGATATTGACGAATATAATATATAAATATATATATTATTATACGTATTACACATACCAATAAAAAGTAACAAAGATTAAGAGAAAACAATGAACGGACGAAATGATTTTTCTTATCGCCGTGATATCTACTCACTCCTCGTCTAACTAAAACAAGAGAAAAAGAAAAGATGAGAAGGTATCGATGTTAAATTACTAAGGGAGAACAGGTTGCGCACTGTTTCTTTTTTTAAAAATCGAATGTGTCCTTAAGAGAAATAAGTGTGACATCGTACCCGGTGATTTATTACCGCCTTTTGGAAGTTCCAAATCGGTTTTAAGTAGTATTGCTTAATTAAATAAATTCTTCGCAAGAAAAAAACAAACCCTGACGCATCTATTGGTATTAATAAACTACTAAATTTAAATCCGGTCTCCATTTGCAGAAGATATGATCCACAACCACGAATCGTTCGATTGGAACGTTCCTTCTATCCTTGACCGGTTCGAAGACGTACGCTAGATTTCTAAAGGACCTGAATTACGTAAAGCAATCCGTAGAAGCTTATGAGTCGATCGGACTTACTATATCCGTTAGTTGCGTAAAGCGCTAATTAAATTATCACGTATCCTACTTTTGGGGAAAAGTGACTGATCGTTTTGAAACGTATCTCGTGCCTTGAATTTTATTCACAAGTTCCCATTTCAAGAGAGCCTAAGATTTTTACGAAATAACAAAAAGCTCTAAGAACGCAGACGTCGACTCTTAAGACCGCACACTCGAGGCCAGTGCCACTGATATCGGCGCCATAAATTAACATACTCCGATCGTAAGACTTTGCATATGGAGATTTAAAGCCGAGGTCCTCTACTTGACCAATGTCCGGTTCGCCAGCCACTTGAATGCGCACGGAATAATAGAAATGGACCCCCTTTTAGAGATCTCGAGTGGCCGACGACTCGGACGCACACGTCGAATGAGATCGTGGCTTAACGGCCTGTCTCTTCACCTCCGGACAATGTAACATTTTCCTCGGGGAGCGAAGACGTCTTTAAATTTGCCCCCGTCGAAAAATAAACTCGGACTCTAATCCCGCTTGACAATTACATTTGTCGAAACCCCTTTTCCCATTCAAACGCGGCGCTTCAATTCAACGAAGATTAGACGGGTGAAAGCGCGAAACTAGTTATAGAAGAAACGTTTTCAGATTTACACATGCGGGCAAAGTAGTATATAATGGGGTTTCAAAAGAAGGGTAAGAGGAATCATTTGAATTTGAAAGATTCGCGTACGTGAATCTGCGCAAGCGCCGTGGGTCCGGACGAATTCGCGAGGAAATTCGCGATTCGCGAACCACAGATGGCGACTAGTCTGCGGCAGTGGAACAGGTCTGCTGCCACGCGTGCCGGCAAAATAATGGAAATCGTAGTCTCGTCTGGCCGCCGGCTCGTGCACCTCGTATACTCCCCTTCAGCCAGCGTGCACGTACGTCGTCGTCTCGTCGGTGTGCGTCCCGACGCTACGTGCAGACGAGTCCGCATACACACCCGAACCTGCCCCGGGGGGTAGGGTTTCTCGATCCCTCGTTCTTTCCGCCGGCGGAAAAGAAGGGGTTTTTGCGATCGGTCGCCAACAGTCTGTGCGCCGCGAATTCGCGAACGAGACACGTCTAGGTAAAGTGACGGGCCGCAAGAGTTGTGTACGAAACGGTCGTGTTTGACTGGATAACCGCGCGGACCAGCGATCGGGGCTTCTGCGGAGGTTCTTTACCTAAATATTCGCGAGTGGTCGTTACGTCCGGTGCTCCGTTGGACTGTCGGCCGGCTCGATAGTCACGAAATTCGGACTCGAGGGAGGGAACTTCGCAAACGGTAGTAATGGGAACGAAGCGATGAACCAGTGTTCGGCGGTTTGCAACGTGAACATGAAACAGAGTGATGGGAATCGAGTTTTCAAAACTTTGTACCGAAACATTGAAAAACTTCCAAGGTGATTTCCATTCAAATACAAACAAACAGCATTGCTCTAATCACCCTGTCTAAGTTTATGAATTTGAATTATCAACAGCGAAGTTCTCAGGACACCTTGGAACTGTCTTAAGAAGTAAGAACTGTTCAAAGAATCACTGGATAAAACTGTATTAACGAGTTCGAAGCTGGATTACCGAGAGACGCTGGAGGGATCAGTGTGTGTTTGTAAATTATTCACGAGGGGCACGGGAGATGTTTGATACGTCCCTGGGCACCGTCGTCGTGGCGGAGGGACACACGACGACGAAGGAACGAGAGAAGGCACCGGGTGTGCGTGTGAGGGCAGTGATCTCTCAGGGAGCGGCGACCTGACGTTGCGAACGAACGGTGTCCGATAGATACACACGCATGCGACACACACACAGACATATACACACATATACACGTGAGAGAAGGATGTGACACGCGTCGCGACGTTTCGTGATTTGGTGCCTCGATTGGGATCGGGTCCATCGGATGCGACGACGTTCCTGTACGACGATGGACCATGTACCGAGGTAAAGATCAGAATTTGTACTTCCGCCGGTTTTTCGTGCCGCCGCCGCTGCTGCCTAGGTTTCTGGCACGCGTTCGCAACGACCGAATCAACAGGATCAAGTTCACTCGAACCCGAGTAAGCTTGTGGTCACGCTGGACGCGAATTGTTGAGAACCGATATCTCCTCGGTTTTCGAATTACTTTTTCTTCCGGCGCGTCTCTCTAGTGATCACAAACTTAGGATTTAGGAATAGTTATGGTACCAACGTTTCTCGAGGTTTGTCTCGTTCGTTCGAAAACTATTGTATCGGTTTTCAAACGGAATGTCGTTTCTTCTACACAGTTTTGTCAATAACACTAGGTTGTTAATATTATGCTATTTCTTAGGAACATTCTTGAAATAGTACAAGTAACGAATGATTTCGTCAAGTCTGAAACTTTTGAAACAAGGGCAGACGTTGCAATGGCCTGCAGTCGCTGAAACTTTTCCTTCCCATACAACCCGGACGTAGACGGGGCGGGGCCGTTGCAGTGCATCGAGAGAGAAATTTTTCCGGCGGTTGTTGGCCCAACCCTGCGGACCGAACGGATACTAGGGTGTTTCCCACATGAATGGCTGAGCGATGAAGGCAGGCTTGCTCGCAAGCTGCACACACCGCTGCAGTAGGCCTCTGGGCCAAGGTTCTCTGTCTCTCCCTTTTCTTCCTCCTCGCCAGTGCACCTTTTTGTCTTTCGAACGTTCTCTTCGCCACTTTTACAACAGCGAGCCCGCGTCCGCGATCGCCAATACCGGTTAACCGCTGCGTTCTTCGAACTCTTCGCCGTCCTCGTTCTATCCGATAGATTTCCAAGCTTCAGACATTTTCCCCGACGATGCAAAACGCAGTTGCACGTCGAATGGGAAACAGGAGAGGGCGATTTTTATTTTCGCTGGAAAGAGCTGACCTAGTCGGACCACCCGGTATTCCAGTTTCACCCCGATTGTTCAGCCTCGGCCCGATACGTCTTAATTCCCGGATGCAGATGCACTCGGTGACCCCCACCATTCGATCATAAGGTCTCCCGAGGCTGACAGGCGTGGCCCTTTCCCTTCGAGAGTTTTTCACGAGGACCCACCTGGTCTTCCATTGGCCAGCGGCTAAATGAGAATTTTTCCGATATGGCCTTTCAAGCCCGACCCTCTTACGCTTACCCCTTGTCGATATGGGCGCTGCACCCGTCGCTTTTGTCGTTCCAACTTTTCCATCCGTCATTAACCCTTTATATAACGTTATGCAACTGAAAACTCGTGCCTATAAATAAGATCAGGTCTATAACTTCCGTTCCTCATCAGAATAAAGAATAATAGGCGGAAATCGAGGAATAATCTGATGCCCAGAGGAGCATTGGTTCTCCAATTCTTAAAAATGGTGGTTCTATGTAAAATTCGACTACCGATCGGATGCATCTAGCGAGTCTCCTTCGAACGTACATCTTTGGAACGACTAGACGAGGCAGAAACGAGAAGCAGCCTCCGGCAAACCTCAGACAGACGCCACAGTGGCTGTATACCCGCAGAGAAAGAACATGATCCAAAATGCATCAAGAGCCCCTCTTATCCACAAAGAAATTTCAATGGACATTAGGAACAAGATTTAAATCTAAGTGCCCGTGAGATCTTTTTAGAATTATGAAGAAATTAGACGTGGTTTGAACCCGGGCGGACTGAAATCGAGGGGAGGCTGGGAATGAACAAAAGGAGCAGCAGCGATTCTTCTGCAAAGTCGAACGTTTCCCGGGAAGGCCACGCACACCTGCGCAATAGCGTTCGCAGGTGTGTGTACAAACCCTGGTGCACAGGCTAGACGAGCTAGAGACGGGAAATGGCCGACGCTTCCATTTTTGTAAAACGGGATCATAGGACGGATGGCAGACTGTTTCTTCATAGGACCTTCCCGTCGTAGCGCTCACCGTTTGAACAGCCTCGGGTGCAGACTGATGTATGCACGCAAGCAGGTATTATGGCTGGATCTACGTTACTTTATTCCTATTAAAAGCAACTTCCGAAAAATAGCGTGTCTTAAAAAAGACTGCAACATCTGCATAATGCAATCTGTTCTTTTCGATCACGATGGACAGCCTACGAAGTTTCTACGAACAAGATCGAGCGAAATGGTCGTGAAGAATTGCGAGGCAAGTGGCGGGAAATGAAATCTGGTAGAAGGAACGGTTAGGGAAGGAATGCGAGGCAGAGGCGACGCGCGCGATCAAATCCGCGGGGGCGTTCATTTCACGCATCGACAGTGGCGATGATGCTCGGGCCTATAAATAAGGCCGCGATCGCGGGAATACAAATGCGGCTCCTCCCGATCTATCCCTCACGATGGCCACTATTTTTAGAGCCGGCGGATCCGTCCAGCCTAACTCGAGCGCACGTGAGCGAATTCGAGAGCGGTGCAGAAGTCCGAGGAGGCGAATCAGCAGGCGGGATAGTCAAGAGAGACGGAGAGCGAGAGAGAGGAAAAAGAGAGGGAGAGAGAGAGATAGGTTCCTTTGCGTCCGCGGGTCTTCGGTGTCAACAGGTTTTATTTTTGCCCCGCGAAAAGGCCAAGGTCCTCTCTTGCCCCTACCGTGCATACCCGCCGCTTCCTCGCCTCCCTGCCCGCGCGTTTCCCTCCTCGCCGCCCGGGAATCCCCTCTCCTCGTCGACGTCGTCGTAGACGTCTCCTCGGCAAGTGGGGAGACTCCCGGGGGATGTTACGAAGAACCGAAGAACCTTCTGGATTAATGCCCGCGAGACTCCGCTCTACGGAGAGGAGAGAAGAGTCTGCGTTCAGCCCGGTCGGTCTGGTGATAATACGATGATAACTTCCTGCGGCGGAGGTGGAGAGACCACTTCAGGAATATTCCTTTGTTAATGATCGTCAAACAGGAATAA